CTACTGTGGACCTTTTATATTATTATTATCTGTATTATATTTCTTACATTTTATTCTATTTCTTTACAAGTGAATTCTTTAGATAATTAGATAATAACTGAAGTTAGGGCTTACATATAAAAATTAGATTAAATTCTTTCATTGACATTACAAGAAATAACGTAACAAATAACAATTATAATTAAACTTACCTTTCTGTTCAGTGAAGAGTTAAATTTACGCTGACATTATAGGAGTTTAACTCCTGTTCTAATATTGAACGACCATTCGTTTCGCGCGAATAAGAATTATATATCGTAAAAGTAGGCCAAAGTATTGGAAATAAATTTTGATTAATTTGAATTACATAATCAGATGATTGCAACTTAGGTTTTGCACTCAGTTGTTTGTAAGAAATAAAACATTAAACAAGTTATCAGTTTTAACTCAAAACATGCATATTTTTTTTATAAACAAGAATCTCATTTGTTCTCAGAAATTACTTTAAATCTAAAAATATCCTAAACCTACATTTTTTTAAAAAAAACAAAAAATTGCTTCTCTTTGCTATTACTTTCTTATGTTTGCAAACATTTCTTTTTGCTCTGGCAAATGTCGATCAGGAGAATAGAGATACATATCGTATGCAAATTTGGGATTCACGTTATCTCTCAACTGAATCTTTCCATTCACAGTGAAATATTATATCTGTTCTCCAGTCACGCTCGAATAACTTTGGTAGTCTGATTATTTTGGTAAACCAACATACTTACTCGTGTTCCAAGCATTACAGAGAAATCTATTGATTATTCATGCACCACGGACTGTGCCACCATAGTTCTCTGTTCTTGAGGTAGGGTAGGATATATTCTATATATACAAGTGTAAACTCGTAAGAACTGATTCAGATTACTGCTCTCCACCCTAAAGCTGGAGTGTTTTTTTCACTACTCTCTCTGTCTGTGCACATATTTTTGTCTGATTCTGAATGAATTTCGTACAATGGTTGCATGTCCCCTAAGGACTAGTTGATTAACTTTTAATGAATATAATTCAAAGATCAAGGTGACACTGAAAGTCAACAACTTCCGTTATAATAGTAGTAAAATGGGATTTTGAAAAAAAAGGAGGGGGTTCGAGATAGAAAGATGATCTTGGCATCTACTTTTACATTTTTGGGTGTGAAGAAATGTTTTAGGTTGGTTACTGCAAAAACCAATAACATTGCGTGGAGAAGCTAGCACTCTCTGAATGCCATTATAGTTAATAATAACATCATTTCATTGGTTTTTGTATGCTAGAATTTCTTGTAAGGACTGAATATGCTGGTTACTGTGATCCTAAAATAAACTTTACGTTGACAAACGTTCATGAATTGTCACGTAGCTCAAAAACTAGTGGGTATACGTTCGTTACACAAGTTGGGTGATTTACCTCTTAAGTTGATAACAATGTCTGATCATATATTTAATAACAGTATTTGATATTACAGTTTTAATTTAATAACAATGTTTTGTAGTGTTATATTGGGTTAATGACAATATCTAGTAGTGGTATATCGTGCTTATAACAATATTTTATAGTGATATGTTTAGTAGCTGTTTTGACGAGTTTTTCTGATATGTTTTTTTTATAAGAGAAATAAAATATTTCGTAACTCTAAGATCATAATTATTTAGTCCTGTTGGGTCGGGATAACAACTTAATTGTTGAGCTATCTAGTCCTATTGGGATATCAGATAAATATTAGAGTTCTTTAATCTTGTTGAGGTAACGGCTGAATGTTGAGTTATCTACTCCTGGGTGGATACCAACTGAATGTCAGAGTCATCTAGTCACAGTGCGATAACAGCTAAATGCTCGAGTTATATGTTTATGCTGAGATACCGGCTGAATGCTAGAGTTATCTAGTCTTGTTGGGATGCAAGCGGAATGCTGGGATTATAGTAGGTCGTTTCTTCTAAAAATGTGAGTAATGAGAGAATGGATGCCTTGTGTTGTTTGTCTTTCACAAAGAGACTAGAGCTAACACAATTTGTTGTATTTTAGATATGCGAATCCATTTTGTCTGCAATACGTAACTGATTACATTTTCTTTATTTTGCAGTGCTGGGTGCATCTGTGCTTCTGTCATATTTCCAGGAGTCAAACGGTAAGTTTTTGTTTATGCATTTCTAATATTAGAGATATGGTATCGCCCTAAAGCGCTAGAGACTTAGCTAGTAATTATAAAAACAAGCTACGACTAGTTTGTCAGATGAACTGCATGTTTTAGTTTAAGTATAGTATCGACCTCTAGCGATATCGCTAATAACTTAACTTATTAATTACAAACAAAAACTAGGGCTAGTTTGTCGTTTTTGATCCAGAATATTCATAACTTTCAATACAGTTACTCTTAGTGTTAGTTGAATGTTATCTGTTCCGCTATACATTGAATTTCTTACAAGCCCAACTAGAAACAAAACTAAAGCTGCCATTGTTTGTCCATGAACCATACAAGACTCGGTTTACCAATTGGATATTAAAATATTTTAATTAATTAACACACTGAACGGAAAAGAATACCGAATAGCAACTTCAACTACACAGAATTTTGCACTTAACAGTTTTTCCCTATTTCATTCGTTGAATCATATCTAACCACATTTTGAAATTCATGTTCTCACCCTGCTCCACAAGTTAGATTATATTTCACCAAACCTTTTAATTCATTCCACAAGATAAATCATACCTTGCAGCACTTTTTAATTCGTACTATAATTCTGTCCCACAAGCTCAACCATACCTAACCATACTTTGTAATTCATACTATGGTCTTGCTATAGAAGTTAAATCATACCTAACCACATTTTGTAGTTCGTAACCTTTCCCTTTTTGACAAGCTGAACTATATTCAACTACATGTTGTAACTAATAAACTCCACCCTGTTCCACAAATGCAGCCACACCTAACCACACTTTTTAATCCACAAATTTCCTGTTCACAAGTTGAGTCGTACATAACCACATAACTCCACTTATTAATGTATTAGGAATTGTAATCTATATCAATACCTTGATACATAACCACATAACTCCACTTATTAATATATTAGGAATTGTAATCTATATCAAGACTTTGATACATAACCACATAACTCCACTTATTAATATATTAGGAATTGTAATCTATATCAAGATTTTGATACATAACCACATAACTCCACTTATTAATATATTAGGAATTGCAATCTATATTAGGAATTGCAATCTATATCAATGTATTAATAAGTGGAGTTATGTGGTTATGTATCAAAGTCTTGATATAGATTACAATTCCTAATATATTAATAAGTGGAGTTATGTGGTTATGTATCAAAGTCTTGATATAGATTACAATTCCTAATATATTAATAAGTGGAGTTATGTGGCTATGTATTAAAGTCTTGACATAGATTACAATTCCTAATATATTAATAAGTGGAGTTATGTGGTTATGTATCAAAGTCTTGATATAGATTACAATTCCTAATACTTTGATTTCTTCATTACATATTGGTTATATTTTCATTGTACTGAAATTAATAATTTAAGTAGGATTTTAAAGGTGGGCTCCCTTTTAGTGAACCTCAAAAGGCATTGAAGGTTTGGATACCTGCCAGAAGAGCATAGTCGACGGTTCGAGTCCAAGTCTCAGATTTCAGTTCTACGACTTGATTATTGATAGAGAGACTTGTTGTTTCTCCATCCAAATATTTAATATCATTTATGTTATTTAGCTCTCAGGGCTCAGGTTCGTCGATTCAATATATTCGTTCTATGTTTTGTTCGGGTTCATTTAGAAAATCTAAACAACTACCGGATGAAGGAGATAAACCTTCCAAAGATTTTAATCGGAAACTAAAATATCATATTTTTATATATGATATTTGTATGAATTCACAGCTATGAAAATTCGAAATAATATCACTGCGATAACTTACATTTGTTGTACACAGCGTGGTCACAAGTAGACACCACCTTCTCGGAAAAAAATTAATTTTTCAGTCATATTCACATGAATTGATATATACTTATAATTTAATTAATATCTAATAGATCTTCCTTTCGCTTCGTGGAGTTCGTTGATCCTTTGGGGCATCGTGAGAATCATCTCGTCAATTTTAGATTGTGGGACTTTCGCCCATTTTTGCTTGCTTCAAAACTTGGAGTTAATCGCTCTTCGGAGTTGTTGTTTTTTTTTTGTTTCTTGACTTGCCGGTTGAGTAT